GTTATAAAAAAGAAAATCTTTATCATGCAAAATCGGAATCGGCGTGTCTGAGTTTTTAAAGATGGGGAAGATTTGATCGGCTAGAAACCTGCAATCGGTGCACCCCTACGTAATAATAACCAAAGATTGATTCTTGTCTATCTTTCTCTAATGTTTTTCCCACTGTCCTTACAGCCACCTTTAACTGTTGCATTATTCATTTGCTCTTGAAAGTTAATAAAAAGCACTAGTAGCAATGTGTTGCATAACTAAACAATCATTTAGTTCATTTAACGACTAAAAAAAGTGTGTTTGATCGCAGTAATACCTTTAAAAGAGAACCGATTCTCAATCTTGAGAATCTGAGTCAAAAAGATTCTTCCCATTTAAATTAACCGGCTGTTTTTTAAGTTTCCCCAAGTTTAACCTATAAAAAATGAAACTAAGACGTAAGATGTAAGATTTTTCCTGAAATGCTTTGCAAAGGTCCAGAGTTTAACTGTCAATCTCTGCATCTCCGCTTGGCTCAACATTTGCCAGGCTTTTTATTGAGCAGTCAACACATTACAACAGCAGGCGTTAGTTCCGATTGAAGTTCCGATATGAAAAACAGGAAAGCATTCTTGCAAAACATTTGTCTTATGGCCTTCATACACTATTTCCAATGATGAGAGTAACATATAGAACATATAAATGATTAAAAGCAACATAAAAGATATAAATGAATAAAATGATCTAAACAACAGAAATCATAATAACTCCAACACCTCCATCCCTGATTACAAACCTGTTAAGACTGCAATCACTTTTTAGAGACGCTCCCCCTCCAGTATGGAAGAGTTTCTGCTTTAGTCATATAAGCTTTATTAGTGCGACGGTCTTAAACATTTTGACGATGCACAATCGCATGCAAACCTACACTGGAAAAAATCGAAATCTAGATAAGTCATCTTTGTCTTAAAATACAAGCATTTGTTCTTGGATTGAGGAGGAAAAAGAGACATTTTGCCAATGGAACAAGACAATTTACACTTAAAGTAAGAAAACACAGTTGCTTTTTCTTATTTCAAGTGCATTTTATCTAATTATCTTATTTTAAGAGTAAAAATACTAATTCCATTGACAAACTATCTCATTAACCTACTCAAATTAAGGTCAAATACACTTAATATAAGCATTTATTTTCTTATTTCTAGATTGTTTTTCCAGTGTATATTCAATTTAGATAAAACTAAGAGGTAAAAAAGACTTGCAGCTGTAGCTGCAGAAAAAGGGCTTCTGCATTGTGCTGCATTAGGAGTGCAGTAAACAAATACCTTTCTGTTTTTATTGATTTTCTTTATCATTTTCATTCTACAGTAAATTATATTGTACTTTGTTTTGATCTGTTGCAGAAAATATATTGAAAGGCAACAAAAAGTGATAAAGTTAGAGAGTCTTATTTAAGATTGGATCCAAGTTGTGCAGTGAGTCTTTTGCCGAGTCTTTGCTCTCATTGTGTCCGTAAATAGCTCACATGTCCCTGAGAAAGAACGCGTGGCAGCTAATCAGAAACCGTGCACTTCGATGAGCAGCTCGTCTGCTGGGATTTGGGGAAGTTATGTTAATCTTAGATTCTTAGCTTGGTGAAAGCGTGATCTATGCTGACATTCTATGAATTATATATGTAATCTAACAGGTCAGAAGCTCATCGCTGCAGAATGACGTAACTAATAAAGATAAGCCAAAATAATCTTACCAAAATGTACGGGAACATGTGGAGGTGCAGTTTGCTTATTGAATAAGGGAGAAGGAGACCCACACACACTCCAAAGAGGAGAGCCATTTTGATCTCTGCCTCCCCAGCCACCGTCCTCACCCACACCATTCTCAACAGTGGCTCCTTAATGATAGCTGCTGGCGCTCACACTGGGAAAAATCCAATGGTTTTGTTTTCATCAGCTAATACTTGGGTGCCAAGATTAATGACTAGCCCCATATAATTGGCATTAATTAAAGCAGAAGAAGCCCTGAAGTGCCTTTTGATTCCTGAGGAGGAGGACGAGGAGGAGGAGGGCTGGCTGAGAAGCTTGTCTCCCCCTCCTTTGGCCCCCGTTCTGCTACCCAGAGGGTCTGCAGGCTGCAGGGCAGCAGGTGGATGTGGAGTTGTGAGGCTGAATCTGGCTGAAACTTGATTCTTATGGCCGGGAGCGCCCTTCTCCTGCAGTAGGTGGACCGCTCTGGTCCAGCGGCGTCGCCCCCATATGGTGTTTACTTGCTCAATCACATCGACTTCAGACATCTTCCCTAACACACACCTGTCTTAATAGGCTCAGCCATTCCCTAGGCAGGCACACCTGTGATTGATACCTCCACCACCTGCGCTGCTATTGCTGCCAAAAGCTGCGTCCACAGACACGTGTAGTCGGAGCGTAGGTGTTTTTTTTTTCTTCATCAGGTCATCATGTCCAGTGAACGCTCTCTAGTCCCCGCCGTGAAATGGCCAGCTTCCACGGTTCACTGATACCGTCTCACAGAGCCCAGCCCACACACACCTAGCGAGATCCTTGGCCTCCAAGTTGTGCCACAGAAGCACATCACTCATACCCCAGCCTCCCCCCCCCCAGCTCTCTGTCTTGGCTGGGGATGAAGTGGCGTCGTCTGGCAGGGCTGGTTAGATGTGAGGCGACGCCGCAGGGCGGTGGCTGTGGTGCATTGGCTGAGCGTGAAGTGTTGCTGTCGCTGCTGGTCTCAGCCTCGCTGTCACTTCTCCGGGGGCTGCAGGCAGCTACTTTCTGCTGACTGCTTGGCCTTGGCTGCTGCTACATTTACAGCCCAAGCTCTCAGCTAAGGCCGGCGTCCCAGACTCACAGCTATCTGCTGTGTGGCGGCGGTAACTCCACATTTTACAAGCTCAGATTTCTTCACTTTCCTATTAATATATATAATATAATACATAATACTATTTTTATGTTTTGCAAATATCTATTGTTTCTATTAACATTTTATTTTGAAAGACAACCCACCCCCCACTCAGCAGAGAATTTTAATTTTATTTTGAAATACCTTCTAGGAATAGTTTATGGATCAATTAAAACTGTTATCCCAGAAGTGACTTTATTTCTTTTAAATTGGTCTTCATCAATGTTTCTTTCATCTTTTAAGGTCGTTTAACGTGTTTTTTTTTTTGGGGGGGGTGGGGCATTGGCAACTTCTCTACCCTGTTTAATTCAACCCCTGTTCTGGATTTGATCAAATCTGATTCATATGTTTAAAAAGACGCAGGAAAAAAACTGAAAGCAGATGTTTGAGGAAAGGAGCTGAAACTTTCCACACTCAGCATTTGAATATTCTTTGATAGTTTGTAGATTAATGTGTAAACATTGATTCACCAAAGCCAACAGAAATCCTGAGCAGATTAATACTTATAGATCTTTGAATTTAGCTTTTTTATTTATATATATATATATATTTTTTTTTAATATTTCTTATTTATTAATATATTTTCTTCCCAAAGTTTTCTAACTTTGAACTTTTAGAAATGTCTCCATCCTGCAAACTTTATTGTGTCTTTTTTATGTGACCAACAAAGACACATTTTAACATAAGCTTGATGGGAATTGCATATATCATTTTCCACATTTTTAAAGTCTGATATGTTTGGTAAGCTGTTGTTCACCCTCCTCTAGTCTGATACCCCTCGATAAAGTTAATTAAAAGGTTTTACCTTTTAGACCTCATTAGTGGATCGACCCAAAGCCACAGGGCAGCATGGAGGGCATTATTTAAAAAAGTCACAATCATGGTAACTTTGAAGGAGCTGCAGAGATCCGCAGCTCTGGTGTGACAAGAGAGGACAACAATAAGTCATGTACTTTAATAATATGGCCTTTGTGGAGGAGAAAGTATAAGAAAATCATTTTTGTTAGACAACACAAACATATCTGAAGGTGGTTTATGGATGAAGGATCCCAGTCAGATCAGATCAGTTTGCTTTCTTTTTTCCCTCCATGTGTAATGCTGCCAGTGCTAACAGAAATACACACCAGCCTGAACACACCAGCACTACAGTGAACCATGGTGCTGGCAGCATTATGCTGTGGGGAAGCTTTTCATTCATAGTTCATTAAAAAAAAAAAAAGATCCTTCTGCTACTTTAAAGAGAACTTTTTAGAGCCAGAAAAAGATAATAAAATAGTTCTGATCAATATAAAAGTAAAATAATGCATCTTATCAAGCATGTAATCAAGTTATATGAATTTAGAAGAGAAGATTGTATAAAAATGCAATGATCTTGATAGATAACACCCTGGAGAAATGCTGTTTGGATGTTCATCCCAATTTTTTGTTGTTGTTTTCATTTTCTCTACTTCCAAATCCTGCAGGTTGCGTTGGAGTTTTAGATCAAATTCAACATTTTTGCTTTTGTATCCGAACAGATTGTTTTATTGAAGCATGCAAATCGTTTTTTATAAGTTTCTACTGCCTCTCAGTTTGACTCCCACCTCTAAATCCTCCTTCCTCTCTGAGACGGACAGCTCCAGTTTAATAGTCCAGCTTCAGAAGAGGCTGCCAGTACGGTGAACTGAATGACTGGCTGTAATTATGCGTGCGGTAATAACCGCCCCGTTGTGAGCAGCGTGCAGCAGGGTTCGGTGCTCTGGCTGCAGGATGTTCCATCCTGTGATGTGGTCTTCTGGCTAGATTAGAGACAAATTCAGACATGATGACTCAGAACCGGTGTTTTAAGGCACTGGTTTATACCTCTGATTCATTCCGGTCCTGGTGGGAACCTGAGGTAGGATGGAACATGCATGTCTGAGCACAATGACACACAGAAACAATAACTCACACACATAAAAAATAAAAAACTTCAGTGAGTGATGAAAAAAAAAACACAGATTTTGTAGTTATAGGTGATGTGCTACTGCCATCTGGTGGTGGTTTTAGGTGTAGCATGAGAAAAACCCCAGCAGCTCCAGCTTGCACCTGTCACGGCTTGTGCATTTATGATGTTTGCAGTGGAAATAAGCCGTTTTGCATTCAGAGGGAGTGCAGAGGCCAGGCGTTAGATGCACAAAGAAAAAGGTGGCTGATTTTGTTCTCTCTCTTTAACAGAAGGGGAAGGATCCTCTCTACGCCCAGATAAACAAGGGGAAGAAATAAAGAGATACCCAGGAAGACAGACCTGACCAGCACTGAGCGAACAGGAGGAGAACCCTTTACCTCTGAGCGAGCGAGCGAGCGTGCGTGCGTGCGTGTGTGTTTTGGAGTGAGCGTGCATGTCTGGCACATCCCTGCCTGGCCAAGTCCTTCATCTTCTCTTCCTGCTAACAACCTCCCAGGAGGAGCTTCAACACTCCCACCGTCCTCCTCCTCCACCTCTCTGCAGTGTTTCCTCCTCCTAAGAGGAGAGAGAGCCCTCTCAGTCATCCTCCACAGGCAGGAGGGACATCCATCACCCAGACAGGTCCAGCTCTTCTCTGCTCCCCTCCCTCCAGCGATTCACACCCAGCCTTACGGACATGAGCCACTCCTCTCCCTCCCTCCTTCCCTCCCTCGCTCCCACACCCTTTCCTCTGCCTGTCGTGTCTGGCCAGAGACTCTGCTGCCTGGATGAGACTGAGTCAAGCAGTGCCTCCCCGTTTGTGAAACACACTCACACACACATGCACGTGTGTTTTTTAACGGAGAGAACCTGCATACGCATAGCGAGGCAATCCCTCGGGAGGTGCCCAGACTCTTTCAGGGATAGCCCGTTACTGGGGATCACTGCTTCTGATTGGTTGATGATTGATTAGGGTGTTTTCTACCCCTTGCTTGTGAGTGTCTGCTGGATCACTATGCAGAATCAGACTCTCTGGGAGCTACTCACACTCCATGCATCCTTTGCACACAGCAGTGAGCCTACATGCAAACACACACACACACACAGCCATGCCACACCTTGTGTAACATTCGCACACGCAGTAATTTGCCAAACGCCTCTGCTCGCTGACAGACCGGCGCAGAGGTCAGACAACCAGACCATTGGTGGAGGAATGGACCCTGGGAGGGAAGAGTTGCAAGTTTAAACAGATCCTGTGATTGAACTCTTCATTCTCTTTAGCTTTTTGTACAATAATGATGTAAAAGAAAAAAGAGAGATCAACCTGAAAAATTGAATTTTTATTTTCTAAGTCAATCAAGCCGCTGGGGTCAGCTCTATAGGAGATATAGAGTCAACATGGCTTTAAGGCATCCGATCCTTGATTTGCCAAACTCATTTTGTAAATAATGAGAACAACAACAACCATTTTGTCCACCGGACGTCTGCGCCATAAAATAGGAAGGCTTCAGTTATGCAAACTCTCGATGTTTAACCCAAGCAATACCAACACACAGTGCCTTGCAGAGGTATTCATACACTTTTCAAAATTTGGTCACTTTGTAACCACAAATATAATGTCTTCTGTTTTAATAATAAAAAGAAAACAACACATAGATGTGAACCAGAAGGAAAAGCTAAGATTCTCTCTAGTTTTGTTCCCAGTAGAAATCTGAAAGGTCTGGTATTTATTAACGTTTAGCCCATTTCACTTAAAAAAACAAAAAACAAATTCCTGGTAAATATGGTCCCAAAAAGTATTTAGCTGTATTCAATCCAATACCATGAATGAACCATTCTAACCAGTTCCCTTCAGACATCACCTGATTAGGAACTAAAGTCCTGGGAAGA